ATTGCATTAAGCTTTTAGCTTTTAAATGTATGGATAATGGGTTTCTTTCTCCACATTTTTGAGAAATATAGCACAATGAGTATTTGATATAGTGAATCTCCATCTTGTCCGAATCTAAAGCCCTCTCATAACAGGTACTGCCATACTGTAGACAGTGTATTAGAGGCCCAATAAGGGATTTGTATTTCTGAGGGCCAAGCATTTTCTATGAATCTGTGTTTTGAGTTCACATATTAGGAGACAGAGAAACTGGCATATTTTAATACTTTTATTGTTTTTGATTATGGCACAAAAAGTAAGATAAAATCTGGGTTTCTTAGACACCTGGGCACTCTAAAAATCTAATTGGCAGGCAATTAAAGCAATTTGGAAGGCAGTACCTACAGTACTGGTTGCAAATACAAAATACAAAAAAATACTTGTGAGCTTTCACTGAGCACTTCTCTGAAATGGGGTTCACATGTCTATTTAATTTAAAGCATGCCTGAGCCTGAGATTCTGCAAAGTAAACTTTTCATTTGATAGTTTTCAAGGGGGTCTGCTTTCCCAATTTCTCGGTTATTAAATTTCAGTAAAAATAAAAATGTAAGAAACGTTATCACAAAATTTTGAATTTGTATAAAATTAACTTTGTGAACGTACTGTATGGTTTCCATGTTGTTACAGGCAGATGTGAAATCACTGTTCTCGCCACAAGCGAGAAACACAGTTGGTGCAAACTGTGACAGGAAAGTGGTCCTTCCTGCTCACCTGCCGCTGTAAGCAAATAAGAAACAGAAACATGGTCTCCTAACAACATTAATTACGATGAGTGCATTTAATTGGTTGGCAGATTGCTCTTCTTTGTAATAATAAAAAGCAACTAAAAACGTCATCTTGTATGTGTCAGTTTCATGAACATATTTACTATTAATATAATAGCAAAATTCGCTTGGTCTAAAGCATGTTTATAATGTAACAGGACAGGGCTGTTACAACAAGTGTTATTGCCTCATTCTGAATCACAGACAATAACGATAATATGGCGCTACACATATGTTGAAACTTAATTTCTTTTGTGATGTAAATTGGATGTTGTGATGTTGTACACATTACTGCGTACTTGGTAGTTTCATTGTTATTTGAAATGCACTGATCATTGCTGATCTATTATATTAAGCCCAAAATGCAAAAATGGT